GTTTTGTTGTTCTTAGCATTAACTGAAGAAGAATCTCAAGATGTGAGGAAGAAAAGAAGAAAATGAGTTCATCAGCTGAGTACTCAACGCACAGAAAAATTTGGAGAGTTTCACACTTTGACACACACACGACGAACAGATAAAAAAAGATTTTATATATATTTTCGTGTGCCGGAAGAATGCTTTAACGAAGTTTTATAAGAATCGAACAAAACGTACGGAAACATACTTTGTTCGATTCTTGATAAAATTTCCCATACCCTTTTTCGTTTTTCTATTACAGTGAAACCTGGATAACTGTGACCTTAAGGGAACTGCAAATTTGTCTCACTTGAAGAGGCATTCCACTTACCCAATGTCTCAGATATCCAGGTATAAATAAATATCTGTCTCATTTACAGAAGGCTCCATTAATAGAGGTGAGAATAGAGGTTATTTCAGTTATAGAGGTGCGATTATTAAATAATATAACATATTTTATAAACATTATACATGAGTTGTAATCTATATTAACAATCAAAAAAGCTATTAAACAAAAATATTTTTTATAAACAATACAAAAATGAATACAGAATGCGTCAATACAAAAAAAAATCTGTTATTTTAGTTTGTCTTTTGGAAGTATCGACTCTAAGATGTTTTTCAATATTATAAATTTAGATCGAGCATATTATTTTAAGCTGTACAATTATCAACAAACATCAAAATTTTTTTGTTTCTGGGACTTCATTACTTGATTCAAATTCTTCATCCAATTGGCAAAAATAGTAGATATCATCCAGCCTTTTGATTATTTTGGTAATTCACAGGCAAAGTTTTAACACCTTTGAAACATAAACATCAGGAGGTCACTTTTACATAATTAGCCAAGTGCGGAATTTGCGGGTAGAATAAGAATTAGTAAACAAAACGGTACACAAAATATAGTCTCAGTAAAAGAGGTAAAATACACTCGCTGTCTCAATTATAGAGGTAATTGTGAAGATGAAATCTAAAGAACTAATCCCAGATATAATAGAGGTTTGTTTTGTCCCACTAACAGAGGTAATTCAGTGCTAAAGTGTCGGGACCTAAGCACTAGTTAAAGCTATGGAGGTTTCTTACTTATCCAGGTCCCACTTAACCAAGTTTTACTGTATTTTTCTAGTCTTCTTGGCCAAGGTCGTATAGAATCTTGTTTATTTTACTTTTTGTAAAAATAATTCAAGGTTTAACGGCATTTAAAAAATCAGGGACTATCCCGCGTATATTTCGCTGCAGAATGTGCGACTATTCGCGCTAATGTGAACACCTCCATACAAGTTAACTGACACAATCGGCGCGAGCGAATCGCGTCTTGCGTCCGGCGCGGGATTCGCCTCAGTTTGGCCGAAGCTTCAGAATAGTTTTCAACAAGTATGAGAAGTTAAAAAAAAATCTGTTTCTATTTCTACTTGAAATGAACTCTTTACGGATTGATGCGGAGGTTAACAGAATTATGAGTAATTATGAAGAATTATGATTATAAGAAATGTTCAAATATGATTTCCGACAAAAAGTAGTCTTTAATTCAATTTAACTCGATAAAATCCGTAAAAGTAATTTTATTAGATGTTATAATTATTATTATATAGATTAGTGATAATTAGTAGAATCAGGCGTTACTTTGCGGAAATCCATTATATTAAAGTTGGTAAAAATGATTATGCCTACATCCGCTCAACTCTGCGGTGGCTGGCTCTACTTCACCTGTGGTGCCTCTTGTGGAGGCGAAACACGTGTCATATTGTCGTCGGTGGTGTGTCTTTCCTAGTGTAGTGGTGTTGGGATTAGTGGTGACGGGGATAGTGCACCTAAAGGGAGGGCGAGAAGTGCTCTTCAAACTAGGTACGTGTCTTTTTTTCATTGAGCGGATGCAAGCAAAATATTTTTTTCCAACTTTAAGATGTTTAGTATTCGTGTCTCTAAGAAATCTTTATAAAAAATAGTCTTGTCATATGATCATGAGAACATATATTATAGTCCAGTGCTGGACATGTTCACTCAGAGTACCGGCGATTTGCCATTGTTGCCATGCTTGGCAGGCGTATTGGCATCCATATTATGCCTCGGACCTTTGTCACTGCTTCTCCCCGCCGGTCTGGATATTTTTAACTCTACATATTAATACGGGACAATTAGGTATATCGCTGTACATCGGAGGTCATCGCATATAAATTTAAAAAACCATATTAATAGATCCTACCCTGGCAAAGTCTGGGACGTATCACTACTTATAAAGACAATTTGAAACAAATAATAATGATAATCACCTCCAAACCTAATTTCGGTCACGGCGGCCAGTCTCAAAACAGACTGGCCATCTGAGCAAGACAGGGTTATAATGTAATATATGAGAGGGAATGCACCTGTGCTTACGTATAAATTTTGTTATAATACGTAGGTACAGATGCCATAGGTGTCATAGTCCGATGGCATGGTAATCCGATATGACCGGAGGATATGCTTTCCGAAGCACTGGGTTGAAACACCGATAACCTCACGACCCTGGGCTGCTACTGAGGTTTTCTTGATAGAAAAACCAATAACTTTTTTTTGGTCCGACCCATGATTAGAACCCGGGACCACAAGACAAACGAGGCAGTCAGCAATCAATTGAAACAAATAATTTAGTGACATACATGTGACACACTTGCAACTTTCTACCTCTACATACCAGTACATGTAAACGTGATACTCGTATAGCAAATCTAAATCCATATTTACGTGACGTAACGGCGCCTCGCGTACGGGAGCAGGGGAATATTTATATAGTGATAAAATCCATTTACGACGAGTACGCTACAATGCGGGACGAACAAACTTTATTTCCATAGCTTTCATATCTAGCAGTGGAGCTCGAGACGCGCTAGGGATGTGACAGTGTATCGATACATACTTTGAAATTGCCATTATTATAATGTTAAGGAATTCATGAACGATAGTAACCACTGGGAATGCAGGGATTGCTACCAAACTATTTCCAATTAATTTCATGTAGTTAATTGTACTTGTAACATAATATATGATTGTAAACTGTTCTTTTATCAAAATTTTTCTCATTACAGTTGCATTTTTCGAACCAGTGATAAATTAAACATAATAATGACTTTCAGTAAGAATTATTTTAAATCTATATTGATGTGTGTGTGTGTGTGTGTGTATCTGGGTGTGTGTGTGTTTGTATATATACATTCATGTATATATGTACACTATATATAGATATGTTCTCTGTTGGTTTTTTATAGTCCATAACCATTACCGAACATATGCCTCCATCATAGATCGCATTTTTTTACATTTTAGTTGTTGATGGAGAGACGCTGATGACCATCTCCTGGTTTATTTCTCTCTATCGCCTCTTACGACACCCACAGGATGATATGACGTTATGATATTTTGTTACAACGCCGCTACCGGTATCAGGTATATTAATAACAGTCATGTATTTTAATTGTAATATGTCATGTAAGTTTGCATGCCTTCCAACCCGGATTATTAAGGTTTTATCTGTATTTATTATGTAACGTGGTAGAGCCGCGCTGCAGCTAAAAGTAGTATAGTTGTAGCACGAATGGGTCGGCTCGACCGGGGAAGGACCACGCTCTCACAGAATACCAGCGTAAAATAGCAGCTTAATGCTGCTGTGTTTCGTATGGTGAGTGTAGAGAACCGGAGACCCTTTTTACTGGAAAAGAGGCATTCCATCTTAGTCCTCACGAGTGACAGCGCATCTGCGTTTTGATTCGCAACGAGGATAAATGTTGATGAGATGAGATGTCTATGGGCCACAGCAACCACTTACCATCAGGTGGACTGTGTACTCGTTTGTCACTCGATCCTATAAAAAAAGATCATTTTATTATCAAGCAACTATGAATATTCTGTTTTAAATGATAATAAAAATAGGTACAAGGTTGGTTCATATATAGCAAGGTAGTAGAAGACCTTTTCTCTCTAGGAGTCCTAATGGGTATGTATTACACTTTTAGCTATTTCTGCCGCCAATAGCATAGCTTGCACTGCTGTATTTCGGTCTGAAAGATATAGAGAGTTAGTATAATTAATTAATAATTAAACTATCTTAGTCCTTAGAAGTGACAACGCACCTGTAGCCTTCTTTGTTTAAAGTTGGTTTTTTATAGGATTGGGTGACAAACGAGCACACAGTCCATCTAATGGTAAGTGGTTGCTGTGACCCATAGACATCTACATCTATCCTCAATAAATAATCAAAATGCAGATGCGTTGTCACCCGTGATGTCTAAAATGGAACGCCTCTTTTCCAGTAAAATGGGTCTCCGGTTCTCTACACTCACCATACGAAACACAGCAGTGTTAAGATGCTATTTTACGCTGGTATTCTGTGAAAGCGTGGTCCTTCCCCGGTCGAGCCGACCCCTTCGTGCTACAACTATACTACTCTACCATGTATATATATATATATATATATATATATATATATATATATATATATATATATATATATATATCACAGCAGTGTTAAGATGCCATTTTACGCTGGTATTCTGTGAAAGCGTGGTCCTTCCCCGGTCGAGCCGACCCCTTCGTGCTACAACTATACTACTCTACATATATATATATATATATATATATATATATATATATATAGTATGTGTTATCTTTGTTTCTTTATTTTATATTATTTAACTCTTCACTAATACAACATTTTTGTTATTTTTAGGCATTTTAAAAGATAAGATACATAATTACTTACAGTTTTTGTAATTACTTTGTATGATAACATTTTTTGTTAAAGCCTTTATAGTTCTTTAATTAATTGATAGCGACGAAGACGTAAAGACGCAATGAAAGTTTAATTTATTTAAAACTAGTGACCTGGCCCGGCTTCGCCTGGGTAGGATCTATTAATTTAATGTTATTTAGATTTAAAAAGTAATAACTTTTACTTCAACTGCTCGTAAATCTTACAAGCCCTCGTTTTTTTTAATTGATTGCAGGTATAACTGGACTGCAGCAGTAATTAATCATCATCACATACAATGCAAATTTGTAAGGTCGTTTGCCGGTTTACTGTTCTAATATAAATTACTATTCCTTAAAAATATAAGTTATTTTATAAATATTTCAAAATTTATTCCCATCCCTATCTCCCGAAGCCACCCTCAGTTTTCCCTTCAATTTTCTTTTTTTTTCTACGATCTCCACTCACTTAATTGACGAAGAATTTTGATTGGTCCGGGTACACGGCATATTTCTATGCATCCGCCGCGACGTCGCATATTTTCTTTTTTTTTTTCATTTCAGCACAGCCTCATTTATTATTCCGCTCTTATTTTAATGGTTAGGTTCGTTATTGTACGTCCGTCGAGCTCTCAATAATATTTTCGACTTTAATTGCTGCCTGTGCCTCCGTTTCTGTTTTCGCTAGAGAATTGTTGACTGAAGAGCTCACGATGGTTTGTGTATTTTGGATATGTATTTTCAACGGGAAAATATTTTCGGTTATTTTTATAAGTTCCCTGGAAACAAGGAATTGTACAAACGAAACAACTGCCTGGGAATTTGTGATCTCATTTACTCAAAAATATATATTTTTTAATTGCGAGTTTTATGTGGTGACAGAAATTATCATCATTCCATCATTCTATGAATGTCAAAAGCAACTAAAATCGGTACACAAAAACACACTGCAACACCATTCACACCATTTCGTAACTTGGCAAACCACCACTGTACATTTACAAGAAGTTATCTTCCTCACATGACTTCTTTGTGAAATCCGCTACTGCCAGAGATTTTTCCAGGATAATACGACTTAGGAAACTGCAAGAAAGGTCCTACTCCTTTTTAAAAGGACGCACCTTATATGTGGTAGAGCCATGCTACAACTATAATATAGTATAGTATGTGTATAGTATTGGTCGGCTCGACTGGAGAAGGACTGCGCCCTCACAGAATAACAACTTAAAATAGTATCTCAATGCTGCTGTATTCCATATGATGTGTGTAGAGAACTGGAGACCCTTTTTACTGGAAACGAAGCATTCCATCTTAGTCCTCAGGGGTTACAACGCATCTGCATTTCGATTCTTAATTGAGGATAAATGTAGATGTCTATGGGCCACGGCATCCACTTACCAGCAGGTGAATTGTGAGCTCGCTTGTCACCATATTCTATAAAAAACCTGCTATTGATGAATTTGAATAACGAGCTCACAGTCCACCTGAGAGCAAATTTAGGTACTCTACACCACATCTGCAGGCCACGGACACCTACATCAGCTATATAGTGGCATATCATGCCATGAGTGTTGCTAAAGGTAACAGAGGGACGCAGCAATATTTTCCTGGCTCCCACTCAAAATTCCCCCTATTAGGCAAATCTATGAGTAGTATCTAGTCCTAAGTCGACTAATACCACTACATAGTGGACTCCTTTAAAAAAACGTTACCTCCACGCTAGGACCCTCTCATGTATGTATCGTGGGGCCAGTTTACATACATAAATTTCGCAAGGACAAACAAAATCTATGGGGGGAGCCTATGTTCATTAGTGGACTTTAATAGGCTGTAACCTGGCAGAACCACTTGAAGGCCATACAAATACTCGTTCCATGCAGGATTCAAACCCGCGACACTTAGAGCTGCAACTCATTGCTAAGCGACTGCGCCATGGAGCCGTCTGATTCTTGCGTCGTGTTATAGATAAACTATAACGTTGATGAAGACATTAAAAATAAAAACATTTTTTTAAGTATAGCAATTCCCATTCAAACGAGATGAAACAAAATAAGTTAATTGCGTAAAAAGCAACAATTCAATCGATCAGCAATTACTCGTCAACGGCGGTGCGTTTGAATGGGACCTGATTAAACAGTACGCCAACGGACAGTTCTGACAAAATGGCGCGCTTGTTGTGCGAGGATGGCCCAACAAATTTCCAGAATGGCCGGCTATTCAAATGTCAAGCCGTGTGCATTGTGTTGCCGTCCGTGCACCAGGCTTGCCAAGAGTCGGGGATATTCTTTCGCTAGGCCGTATCGATTGCTGAACAAAAGGCTCCTCCGTCTCAATTGCCTGCGTTGGTTGCTGCGGCATTATCGTTATTACTTGAGTTGTAAAATCTACAAAATTTATATTTTAAAAGTAATTTTATACAATACAATAAATCTTTATTTCAGGCATCTATGGATTATTTTTGTGTGGCGTATGACACGCGGGTCGCGTCTTTTTAAAAATCATTATAACTCGCTCAAATTGCGTTTTTGGAAGATTTATCCAGAATTAAGAACCTTTGGGGATAGAATTAAAACCTTAACATACTCGTATAAATAAAAGGTGGCGTGTAGCGTGCCTAGGGGAAGGCAGTGACATAATCCAACAGTGGACTTGTGAAGGGCTGTAATGATGATGATATGAATAAAATACTATTTAGAGAACTTTCTTCTTTAGCGCTCCCCACCGATACATACCCCAGAGAGCCAGAAAGCGAGGAATTTCTCTTTGTGTTTTGCAGGAACCTAGATTAGTACATTCTTTAGGTATGTTTCATATTACCAGTCTTTTTAAGGTCATTTGGCATGTATAAATTTTGAAATTTGCTCTTGCTCACAACTCTATATAAGCGGATTGGTGAGTGCCAAGTCGACACCATCGCACTGGCAACATTGCACTCCATCACCGCCATGTGAAATTTGGTGTTCATGATTTCTGACTAGGTTTCGACATTAATATAAAACAGTTTTAAAAAATACTTCCCGCAGCACTCTTGTTACATATAAATTACTATTACTATATTCTGGTAATTCTACACATTCAAAGTCAAAGTTCAAGTCAAATATTTTTATTGAATGGCTCTACAAGATACAGTTGGAAAGTCAGATGCCACGCTATCGCTTCAATAAGTCTCTACTGTGTGGAGACCTTGTGAGAAGAAGTGGCGAGTAACCCACAATTGGACAATTTTCTTCCAATATTTACAATTTGTCCATAAATATACATAAGTAAAAACAGTCAGTGATGAAATGTGTTGTTAATTGATACAGTTCTTAACGTGCTAGAGCCACGCTGCAGCTATATTAGTAGTATAGTTGTAGCACGAATGGGTCGGCTCAACCGGGGAGGGACCACGCTCTCACAGTATACCAGCGTAAAATAGCAGCTTAAAACTGCTGTGTTTCGTATGGTGAGTGTAGAGAACCGGAGACCTTTTTTACTGGAAAAGAGGCATTCCATCTTAGTCCTCTCGGTGTCACCATCTGCATTTTGATTCGCAAACGAGGATAGATGTAAATGTCTATGGGCCACAGCAACCACTTACCATCAGATGGACTGTATGCTCATTTGTCACCTATCCTATAAAAAAAAAACTTTAAAAAAATATTGATATTTTTTTGTTTTTTCCCTGGGTCATCAATTCGTCTACTCCCTAGTGCTCGTTTAACGTTGAATTTTTATTTAACGTAGACACGTTTTATAATATTATATACATTACCTATCCTTCCACATTGGGCAGTGTGGAAAAATTTGTCGCTTCTGTCTTACTCTCTATTACAATGTGGGTGTCTTTAACGCAAGAGTGAATAGACTTTTTTAAGCTAAATCGGTGCGCTTTTCTATCTTCGGCTATATCACCACTAATCATAAGGTGAGGTAGTAGTCAAGCAATAGCTTATAATAGTTAAAATACATAATACATAACTATATCCACATCCATATACCTACGTACAAAAATATGTGAGTATAAGTATATTTTCCTTACACACTCACGCTTGTCACTCAGAAGGGTAGGTAGAGACTACGGACTTCCTTCTAACTGACTTTTTCATTTGGCATGATTCTGAAACACTTATCTTGCATCCTTTACATCCATATAGCAACGCATGCATGCTCGTCGGTAAACGGTATTATTATATTATATTTACCAACTAAACATAAAAACCTTTAAAATATATTAATCAATACGCTTTTTATATTAAGATAATGTATTTTTATCCCCGTGTAATGGCGGGTAAGAATACCCACTAACCCATAACTTCCCGTGGGTGTCCTAAGAGGCGACAGAGGGAAACTGAGGCAGAAGATGGACAGCAGCATCTTTCTAACAACAGCAAAACCACAATAAAAAATGCGGTTGCCAACCTGCTGCCCAAGCGTAGCAAATATGGCAATATACCCCCCATGATTAATGTTACGAAGAGACGGCCCCCAGTCCCCAGCGGGCCCCCTAATCCTGGCTACGATGGCAACCATGGTAACTTGGGTGCTAAAAATCTCCGGTGGAGTTTCGCTTGCCACCTAAGTCGACTCGACCTGGCAACATATAACGCACGCACCCTGAGGACTGACGAGAAGATCCCGGAGCTGGAAGAAGACACAGACAAGTTGCGCTGGAATATTATAGAATTATCTAAGGTTCTAAGAGAGGGGGAGGACATGGTAATCCTTGTCAGAGTGTGTCGACGAGGGTTGCATACTTTACAGGAAGTTGACCTGGTCGAGCCCCGACGGTTCGACAAAAAGAGCTTGAATTCTTATGACGACCAGACGACAACTCTTCAGTGACGTCTTAGTGATCACGAGGGTGAAAATTGGTAGCGATCACCGAATGGTTAGAGGCACACTAAACCTAAACGTTAGGTTGAGGTTGGAGAGGTCTCGTCTAATGAAATCAATGCTCCGTCCCCCTCGTGCTCTAATCCAAAGTCTCGAAACCTATGAGCTCGAGTTACAAAACCGTTTTCAAAACAGTGTCTAGAAGACTGAGACAGACATTGAGAGGTTCTATGGGCAGCTGTACACATCATCGTTGGAGCCACATGCCGACACTATTCCGATGATATTCCGGACGTCAGTCTGAGCGAGATTAGAATGGCTCTCCAGCACCTTAGAAACGGCAAAGCCTCAGATGGGGATGGAATTACAGCGGAGCTTCTGAAAGCGAGTGTAAAACCGGTATTTGAAGTCCTTCAGAGGCTCTTTACTTCCAGCCTCCATGGTGGCACTGTTCACGCCCTGAATTGCCCCGACAAAGGTTGACTAGACTAGGGCCCAT